TCCAGTGTCAGGTTTGACTTCTTGAACTTCTGGTGAAAACCCTTCTTGGTAAGTTTATAGCATTTCAGCAAGGCCACTTTTAAGTTGTCATAGCCCATGGGATCTTCTGATGTCATACCTGCATACACTTGCACACCTTTCCTGTGAGAAGTGGGCTGAAATAGACTGCTCAGGCACCTTTGTCCCAGTTTTGACTTCAGGAGAATCTTTCATATCTCTCCAAGAAAGCATCCATGTCATCTTTCTGTTCATCAAATTTGGGCAGCTTGGGTCATAACTCCATTCTCATTCTTGGGTCTTCCATCTTTCTGTTGGGTGAGCTTGGCAGTCTCAGTTTATTCTCCTATTCTTTATCTCTCTATTTTCAGTTTATTCTCTCTCTCTAATTTTCTTCTTTATCAATTTGTGCTCTTATTCTCTCTGTTTTCAGTTTATCTTCCCTCTCCTTTTCTTCTTTCTCTTCCTCTCTTGGTATTCATCTTTGACTCTAAGCTGCTCACCCATCTCTATCCACTTATCAAAGTCAGTTGACATGGTTATATAGTGTGATTGTGACCTTTACAATATTTTTGCCACCACTACAGTTGTATGTATATAGGCCCATTTGCTGCTGTTGTTTACATCTACTTCTACTGTTGTTTACCACTGTAGATCCTGGCTGGCTTGCCACTGTCAGGATTTATGTATGGGCAATTCTTTACAGTATGTGTCTTTGGCTTGTTTGTGATAAGTTTCAACAATACACAACAGGTCACTGGTTTTAAAATAATATATTAAAAAAAGCCAAATGTTTATACAAATGTTCATTACACTGTTGATTATCACAGTTGTATCAAAAGTCTTACATAATTGTTTCTTTTCATCCACACAATTACTTTAGGACACAATTGACAAAACAAATTCTTCTTCTCTACTCTGTCATTACAATACCTTCTGTGATAATTTCACTTTAAAAATTTCCACTATATTTTATGGCTAAACTCACACCCACGCAGTCTAGACCTATCTTGATCTAACTTTCTGATGCATATTTATACTCTGATAGAGGTCTGGAACATTCCACAAACTACTATATATTATGATACAATCATGGTGTTAGAATAACACGTAAATTCAAGAAGTCATGATAGAAATGAATAAAAACCCTATAACCCCAGCACTTTCGAAAGGCCCACTTTCAAAAGTGCTCGGGTTATAGGTTTTTTATTCATTTCTATCATGACT